ACAAAGGGTACATTTGAGTTGAGGGTCCATTCCATTTGAGTTGGTTTTTTCGTCATTTGAGTTGAGGGTCCATTCCATTTTTATTCTCTTCAATATCCTCTTTCAATCTATTACATGTTCAATTGAGCTTGAGTCAAAAATAAATAATATAAAACTTATCCCTTTCTCTTTCCCTTTCCATAGTACCTGGTCAAGGATAGAAGGGCGATTAATCAAGGACAACACCTTTATTCGAGTTCAACTTTTTGATAAACCCGTCGGTCGAAAAATTAAAGCTAAGAAGATAATGGTGAGTCAAGAAGAAGTCAATGAGCTCAAGAAGCAAATGGCTGGTTTTACTTAGTTGCTAAAGACCTTAACCCTCCAAATCAATGACCATGTGAAGCAACAACAAATGGAGCACATGCAAGAGAGCTTGAGCAAGATATCTAATGATTACAGGTTCTAGGGCATTAGCTCGCAAGGGGTCTAAGTGGATAAGGAACTTCTTCCGCAGAAGTTCAATGCCAATGACATACCTAAGTTTAAGCCAACTGACAATCCTTACTTTCATTTAAGGTCCTTTGAAACTATAATGAACATTAAAGGGATTGATAAGAATATTTTTCACTCTTTATTCTCACTATCTCTTGAAACCATTTGTCAACATTGGTTCTTCTCCCTTGATAAAGAGAAGACCTCTACTTGGGATGGAATAAAAAATGCTTTCATTGATAGATATAAGTGTAATATTTAAATTGAAACCGATCATAAGCAGCTTGAGATCCTAAAACTAAAAGAAAATGAAGGGTTCACCTCCTTCTTCAACAAGTGGAGGGAAACTTCCGCTAACATGATCGAAGTCCCTACTGAAAAAGAATCCGTGAGGATGTTCATCAAAAATTTACAAGAAAAGTATTCAAAGCACTTAAAATATCAACACAACTTGAATACTTTCAAGGCCGTATATGACATAGGCATCGAGATCGAAGATGACCTCGCAAAGCAAAAAGCTACTAACAATAGCAATAACAGTGGCTGGAGAGGAAAGAAGAACGACAATCCTTCTTCTTCTTAAAACGCCCACTCTAGTAACAATGTTAGTACCTTTGATCTCAGTGAAATCTTGGCCATGGATAACTAAGGATCTAAGAAGAAACTAAGGAAAGACTTCACTCCCATTGGGATGAGCTATGATGATGCATTCGATCGACTCCGTACTAAGGGACTCATTACTCCCATTGGACCTATTCAAGATCCTGCACCTGAAAAGAGATTGCCTAGTTGGAATCCAGATGCACATTGCAAGTATCATCAAGGTAGGGGACAATTCACTGAGAGTTGCTGGAAGCTAAAAGAGGCTATCCAACATTTGATCGATAATAACAAGCTTCCCTCACCTCAAGCTAGCAAGAAGAGCAAATGATGACACAAGGCGAGCTTCAAGATTTCAGGACCTCCTTTTCTATTTCTTTTTCATTCTTCCTTTCCCCAATAAGTCTAGCATAGGCACTTTCTATTATCCTTAGATTTACTTTGTAAGACTTTTCTTTTTTCCTTTTTAATAAAAATGAGCATTTATTTCCTTACATATGATCATTGCATTGCACAAAAAAAAATAAAAAAATCCATGTCAAACTAAGCACAAGGTATACCAATGATTTGAGGTACCCCTTGTAGCCACATCATATCACATTTCACCTTTCAAATATGCAATCCTTTTTTAATAAACCACTTTGAGCGATGTTTGCTTGAGCCAAGCGCGACCATCACAAAGTTATGAAAATGAAATTTTCAAAGAACATAGTATGTCTTGATGGAGACCTCGATGCCATTTAAAAATGACTCAAACAATGATGGATCACATCCCTTCCTATAAAGTTCTTAAGATTTGCAAGAAGGACTAATGTTACACTAAACAAAATGTCGAAGCTAAAAAAGGACACCATATTCAGTTATGGATAGAATTATCTTCTAAATGTCTTCTAAAAGTATATGTCTAAAACTCTTAGCCACAGTGGGAGTTCAATGGCTCAGTGGGAGCTAAGTGACTCAGTGGGAGCTCCTTAGCTTAGCAAGAGCTAGGTGGTTGAGTAGGAGCTTAATGGCTCATTAAAGGCTAAGATAGCTCAAGTGGGAGTTAACTGTTTGTTTTACGACGAACTTTTACCCAAAGACAATATACATGTCTCTTTGTAAGCATTCAAGTGAGACCATGGGCATTATCTCCACAACCTAATTGAGAACATGGTGTTTGTTGCTCTAAGTGGTGTTTTTCTGGAAAGTAACACGTTTCCAAAATGACAAGTGGGAGGAAAATGAACTCGATGACCATCGAGCTTAGCAACAAACTAGAACTAAGAATCTCGGACGACCTTAAAAGGGCTTCGTGAGAATGCTTGATCAAGAATACTTAAAAGGGCTTTACAAGTGCCTTAATAGAGAATTCAATACTCACAAAACATCAGAAATGATGGAGTGAGATCAACATAATAAAAGGGCTTTGGAAGCGCCTTGAAACTCAGTGGTTGATGCAATTGCCCCGTATAGGTATAGAATTCATCAAAGGCTTGGATTGAATCCTATAAATTTCTATTAAGTTAGAAATAAACCTAAGACTTACAAGCCTATTATTTACTATTAGATAGTAAAGGAATAATGTCTTGTAAGATAGCTACGACAAATCCAAATTCCGAATAATGGTTATAGGCCATTAAAATCCGAGATGGACTCCATGTTTGATAATCATGTTTGAAACTTGATTAATTTTCATAAAGGGTGAAAGACCCATCGATTGCAAATAAGTTTTCAAGGAGAAAACTAACAAATGTGGAAATGTATATGCATACATAGCTGGATTGGATGAAAAAGGATATAATTAAATTCACAGAGTGGATTTTAATAAAAACTATTCACCAATCGGAATTCTAAAGTCTTTTCGTGATTGTTTTAGCAAAATTGCTCATATGAAATATGGAAAAATAGATACCAAAACCGCCTTCCCAAAATAGGATTTTGGAAGTGACTATGGAATAGTCTAAGGGTTTTGAAAATCTAAATAATGCTTGATTTGAAAGAAAGCTCAAGGGATCTGTTATGGGATTTAAGGAAGCATTGCATATAGGAATTGGAGCGTGTTTTCTCATAAAGTTAATAAGAGGATTGGCTTATGGAGAAACATAGAAATTCTCATGAATAAGAAGTTTAGTGGGAGCAAAAGTAAAGGTCCAACGAGAAGTTTACAAACTCTATTGTGAAATAACTATTAAATGCTAAATGCTTAGATTTGAAAGTATTTTCGACAATGGACCAAGCAAAAGACGATACTTAGTACGTATCGGGTATTAAGTTCTATTGTATAGACTTGATAAAATGTTGGAACGTGTAAATGATTTTACCGTGTTAAACATGAAATGGAGGACTTTGAAAGACTTTCAACCCGTATGTATAAAACTAAGTAAATGTTGAACTAAGTATAAGCTAGGATAAATACTAAGTCAAACATGTAAGACTCTAATAGAGACTTTCAACCATATCACACAACAAACTTTTTAGCAAAGACTCAGTGAAACTAAATGAGCTAAAATGACAAATTGATGGAATAAGATTGAGAATTACTCTGCAATTTAATCCATCATGTACGCTGTGATATGGAATCGTCGCACGACTTACTTGCTTAGAGTATCTGAAGTATGTATGTAGCACCAATCAACTTGAATCTATTAAATAGATCGTTAGATTATGGCCAAGAACATTCAAAGTACTTGGATAAGTAACAGGATGAGTTATTGACCTGTGGAAACAAATACAATTTGAGAATTGATGTTGCAAGCACAAGTCTTAACAAGGATTAGATCCTTAACAAGGAAGTCGTTTATAAGCACGAGCTAACAATAAGTCGTGGCTTGAGAATGGTAACATAGACGTGGATCCATGTGTAATGTGCAGGAATTTAAGGAAAATTTACAGGATCACAAGTGATTAGGGTATCCCAAATCATTTTGAGCCGTTTGGAATGAAACCCAATCAAAGAATCATCAGGTAGTCTACTAAAATATATGTTGAGAATATTGTTGCCTTAATGGCGATAATAAAGAAGATGTTCTATGGAAAGTTCATTGATGAACGTTAATGATTGTATTGTCAAGTTGAAGGTCTCAATCATGAAAATGAGTGGGAGCCATCACTTGGACAATAAATCATAAATCACATATAATCCATGACACTCTCAAATTTTATCATCTTATTATGAAAGTGATTAGTAATGAAGATGCTAAGATTAGCAAAGTAGTTATAACAAAACCTATGTAGTAAGTGAACGACAACATTCACAATTGCATGAAAGAAATCAAGCGTATTAGATATGAGTGTGATTCATATAGATGTTTTATATAGAGTTATACTCATAAAACATTCAGATAAACCATTTATCATAAGTTGAACCATTCAGTTTTTGGAGTAATTTAAAATTTCATGCAATTTTATCACTCTGTTTCCTATTTAATTGTGGTTTAGAATTAAATAATGAGTCCATTCGATTCTTATAATATTCAAAATAGGGTATCAAGACCAGTCTTGGTAAGGAAACACCTATTAAGTGAACAATGAATATTATAATCGAAAATTATCCCTAATCGAGGTCATTTAAACGATGGACAATTAATAACCAATTGAGATTAGTGTGTAGTAAGATTTATAGCACTGTTTCTTGTGCTACGAGGACATGATTGTCATAAATCATTTACACAGGCATTGGTTTAGAACCATACTGGATCGACCTATGAGAATACTTTAAGAGATTAAAAATCGTCATAAGTATACTTCTCATTATGGCTATCGAAACCTATTTCCTTGACCATGAGTATCTTGAGTTCTCTTATTTGAGTACTAGTCCGCTTTGATGTTGTCAAACGTCTGCCGTAATAGGGGATTATAACGGCAACACTCGGGCTGCTAGGTCCTCTCAGTAGCACCATTAGGAATAACCTCTTGAACAACAAAAGGACCACTCCAACGAGAGATCAGGAATAACCTCTTGAGAAATCCAAAGAAGATATTTCAATAGCACCATTAGGAATAACCTCTTGAACAACAAAAAGACCACTCCAACGAGAGATTAGCTTCCCGGGAAATAATCTCATCCTAGAATTGTAAAGGAGCACCTTGTCACCAACATTGAACTCCTTCTTCTCAATAAGCTTATCATGCATCTCCTTGGTACGAGTCTTATACATGCTTGCACAATCATATGCATCCAATCGAAGTTCTTCCAACTCATGGAGATCAAGCCAACGTTGCTCACCCGCACTTGCCAAGTCGAAATTGATTTTTTTAATAGCCCAATGAGTACGATGTTTAAGTTTAACCGGAAGATGACAAGACTTCCTATAAACCAAGCGGTAAGGAGTAGTGCCAATACAAGTCTTGAAGGCCGTTCTATATGCCCACAAAGCATCATATAGCTTATCCAACCAATCCTTCCTATTTCTTGCGACCGTCTCTCAAGAATCAATTTGATTTGACAGTTAGACACCTCGAGTTGCCCACTAGTTAAAGGGTGATAGGGGAGTCCAAAGCGTTGATTAACTCCATGCTTCTTCAACATCTTGCGGAAGGCGCTGTGCACAAAATGAGATCCATTATCACTAATAACCGCCTTTAGAATGCCAAATCGTGGGAAAATTATCTTCTTGAACATCTTTATTGCTACCTTATGGTCATTTGTTGGTGAAGAAATGGATTCCACCCATTTTGACACAAAATCAACGACAACAAGAATATATTGATTCCCATATGAAGTAGGAAAAGGACCCATGAAGTCTATTCCTCGGCCATACATAAAAAATCTCCAACTCTAGTATAGGTTGTTGGGGCATCTCATTCCTCTTTGAAATGTTTCCGGTCTTTTGGCACCGATCACAACTCTTGACAAATTCCTAAACATTCTTAATGAGATTTGGCAACCACCATCCGCATTGGAGTACCTTTAAAGCCGTTTTTGAAACACACATGTGACCACCACTCGGATCCGAGTGGCACATCCTGAATACACTAGGTAACTCCTCATTTGGAACACATCTCCTCAATAACCCATCAACACCCTTTTTATACAAAATTAGTTCATCCCATACATAATGCCTAGCCTCCCTCTTGAGCTTCTTTCTCCGATTCTTGGAAAATGAAGGAGGAAACTCCCTACAAGCAAGATAATTCACCAAATCGGAAAACCATGGGAGTTCCTTCACTTCTATAGCATATAAAGAATCATCTAAAATTCTATCTTCAATTGGAGACCCATCATCTTGAACTTGAAAATCCTCAAGTCTAGATAGATGATCCACCAAAACATTCTCCGCTCCTTTCTTATCTCTAATCTCAAGGTCAAAATTTTGAAGCTCTAACACCCAACGAATTAGCCTTGGATTTGATTCCTTCTTCCCAAAAAGATATTTTAGGGCCACATGATCGGTGAACATAATTTTTGGACCCTAACAAATATCAACGAAATTTTTCAAAGGAATGAACAATAGCCAAGTGAAAGGAATGGTGTCCTTCGAACAAGTGTATTATTCTTATTACGGGTTCAAAATTATTAGAAAGCTAATATATTCAGTAAGGTCAAGTGATCGGAATGCCTGGGTGGAGGCCGCTTCCGATCAGTAATATTAATGTATAATTAATATTACAGCTTAATCTTGACTGAACCCTTTGGGTCACACCCTAGCAAATATACGAACCGACTCGATGAATTAGTTCGGAAGAAATTAATCCTTCACCCGAGTGTTAAATATTTAGACGTCAGAAATTCGAGCTTGGAGAGTCAAAACCGAGCGTCGGAGAATCTCAAATGTCGAGCCAAAATTTAGGATTTTGCGAGACGGGAAAATGCTTCAAGTAACAAGTAAAATCCTAGCCACGCAAAAGGCTAGGAAAGTGCGCCAAATAGGTTCTTGCCATGTGGCAGCACACATGGCAAAGCGCCATGTGGCAGCACACGTGGCAGCCGCCAAGTGGCAGCGTGCCACACGGCAACGCGCCATGGTGGCGGCGAGTGTGGCAAGAGGCCGTGGACCCAGGTGACGGGTCATGGACACGGGCCAAAATAAAATAGCCCAACCGAACCCAACTTGGGGCTCAAGGTTGGGTGACACATGGTTAGTTCACATTGCATGTAGGGGTGTACACCGGTCCAAAACCGGACCGGACCTGGACCGGACCTGTTTGGACCGGGGACCTGAATTAGAGAATTTTGAGGACCGGAGACCGGACCTGAATCAACAGGGCCGGTTTCGGGTCAGACCTGAAAATTCAGGTTCGGTCCGGGTTTAGACCTGAACAGACCTGAATTTGTATTTTCCCTTTTTTTTTTCTTTATTCAAGCCAAAGTTTTGACTAAAAACTATCATCAACAACCTCCTACGAACAACCCACCACCACTAATACATACACCCCTACGCACAGCCCACCACCACAAGCTTCTTTCCTTCTACCACCTACCCCAACTCACCCCTTAACCACCTTAACCCCCTTAACCCAGACACCATAACCCCAACAACCCAGACCCATTGATACCCACCCATAACCCAGAAAAACGAAAAAATTGAAAAAAAACCCACCACCGTCAGGCATCCACCGCACCCACAACCCAGAAAAACAAAAGAAAAAGAAAAAAACCCAAATCGATTCCACACATACATCCAACATCCGAACAAAAAACAAAAAAACGAACAAAAAAATCGCAAAAAACAAATTATACATAAATTGTCAGAAAATCCGAGAAAAAAAAACAGAAATTTCGAAAAAATAGATCTACAAACTTAAATTACAAAATTTATAATTTTACATTACAATTTCATTAAAAAAGATAATTATAATCGTAAATTATGTGAAAAATAAAACTAGATCTACATACTAACCTATATTCAACTAAAACTAAAGTATAAACAAACTCTGGTGACGGCAGATGGTGGACGACGGGGCCTCGATGTTGGACGACGGTGCTCCAATCCCACGATGCTGGAGCCAGGAAGAGAGAAGAGGAGAGGAAGAGGAGTCGTTGAGAACCAGAAAGAAAGGGTGAGATTGAGAATCAGAGAGGAAGAGGGGAGATTGAGAATTAGAGAGGAAGAGGGGATACTGAGAATCAGAAAGGATAAGAGAAAAGGTGAGAGGAGAAGAGGCGTTGCTGAATAGTTGAAGTATTAGGTTTTTTAGGCTTTTATATTTTTTTTATATATATATTATATAAAAAATCCGGGTTTCAGGTCCGGACCTGAAAACCCCGGTTTTGGACCTGATCCGGACCGGAACCGGAAACCTTGAATTTCAAGGACCGGGACCGGACCTGAATCTACAGGTCCGGATCAGGTCCGGTCCCAACAGGTCCGGTTCAGGTCGGTTTTCAGGTCCGGTCCTGTTTATGTACACCCCTAATTGCATGTGAATTGTCTTGGGGATCAAGTGGGAAAGTTGTCTTCACCTAACCATGTGACACTTGTTACTTGTTCCTTGGTTTATTTAACTCAGAATTGAATTCATCAATCTTTCACAAAAAGATCCCAAAAAGATCCCACATTGAAAGATGAGTTGAATTCACAAGCTATCCTTCCTTATGAATAGCCAAAGCATGGCTTGAGAATTCTTTGCTTGAGTGGGAGTTAGAAAGAGCATTGCATTTTGGCAAAAACTCTTAAATTCCATTAACACTTGGGTTTTGGTCGGACCTTGCTAACTCCAAGGTAGTGGACATAAAAAGTCGGTGTTCGTCCTTTGTGGGTGGATACCGTTGGTGGCTCGGTATTTTCGGAGCTAAAGCTTTTAAGTAAGAGCCCATTAGGTTGGGTGAATCACGCGACAAAGGTAAATTCCAATTTTATCCTTTTATGTTTATTTATTATTCTTTATGGTTTTATTAATTGTGAGTGGTTCTTTGGGTCGGGGTCGTTTCCGCGGTAAGTTGGACTTACCAAACCCCAACACCAAGAACTCTTTCTCCGTTTTAGTGTAATTCCTTTGAGCGCCATTAAGAGTGTTTGACATATAATAAATGACATGAAGCTTTTTATCAACTCTTGGACCTAAAACACCTCCAATGTCCGTGTCACTTGCATCACACATCAACCCAAAGGGTAAATCCCATCTAGGGGCTTGGACAATGGGAGTAGAAATCAAAGCTTTCTTCAACTTGTTGAAAGCTTCCAAACACTTATCATCAAACACAAACCCCACATCCTTTTGAAGAAGATCATTGAGAGGCCTTGCAATGAGAGAAAAATCCTTGATGAATCTTCTATAGAACCCGGCATGCCCTAAAAATGATCTCACACCCTTCACATTAACCGGAGGTGGCAACTTTTCAATAACCTCTATCTTTGCCTTGTCCACCTCTATGCCCTTGTGAGAAATTTTGTGCCCAAGGACTATGCCTTCTTCAACCATAAAATGGCATTATTTTTCCATTCAACACTAAGTTCACCTTCTCACACCTTGCCAGGCACTTTTCAAGATTTTCAAGGTACGTCTCAAAGGAAACTCCACCTACGGAAAAGTTATCCATAAACACCTCCATCTCCTCCTCCGACATGTCTCCAAAGATACTCATCATACACTGTTGGAATGTTACGGGAGCATTGCAAAGGCCGAATGGCATTCTCCTATAAGCAAAGGTACCATTGGGATAAGTAAATGTAGTTTTCTCTTGCTCATCGAGGTGAATAGGAATTTGGAAAAAACCCGAGTAACCATCAAGGAAATAATAATACTTGTGCCTCGTTAGTCTTTCAAGAATTTGATCAATGAAAGGAAGAAGGAAGTGATCTTTCTCGGTAGATGTGTTTAGATGTCAATAGTCTATACACATTCGCCAACTCGTCGAAATAAGCTCACCTTTTTCATTCTTGACGACGGTCATGTCTCCCTTTTTGGATAGACATGAATGGGCGAGACCCACCTGAGCTTGAGATGGGGAATATGATTTCCGCATCTAAAAGCTTAGTAATATCTTACTTCACTACCTCCCCCATTTGGGGATGTAATTTCCATTGTCGCTCAATAGAAGGAAGAGCGTCGTCCTCAAGGGTTATGTGGTGTGTACATAAAGTGGGGCTTATACCTTTGATATTGTCAAAGGTATATCTTAAAGCACCTTAGTGCCTTCTCAAAACACCGCATGACTCTTGAGCTTGGCTTTCACTCAAAGATGCATTAACAATCACGGGATAAGTAGAATTTTGGCTCAAGAACTTATACCTAAGGTGTTTTGGTAGAGGTTTGAGCTCTACCATGGGAACACCTTTACCTTCCTTGGTTGAAGCCGCTTGCAAAGCCTCTTGGCTTGAGATTTTCATGCATATTTGCTTATCACTTCCTTCAACACTCCCATCTAACAAATTTTCATACAAAGCCATTTTCTTGCTAGGAACACCTAACTTTTCCTTGTTTAACAAAACGCACTCAAGAAGGATCATTAGTTATAAGAAAGAGCTCATGCATGGAATGTACAAGAATGTCTAAAATTTCAACTCTCATGCAATTCATAAGATATGAAGAAGGATATTTCATACTGTAGGCGTCGCTCAAAGTGCGCCTACGTTAAAGCATGTGGTGAATATGCTTGGCACTCATAGGAAGTGGGAATTGACATAGTACGATAAGGGACACGATTAGGGACAAGGAAAGTAGGGAACCGCCAACAAGTTTTTAAGGAACTTGTAAACCGTTCATGGATCATAAAAGGCAACCACGAATAAGGGACAACAATAAGCAACAACGATTGACCCGTGAAGGTTACACACCATTCATAATCCAAGAGATTACTAACTCTATATGGTTCGGAACAACGAAAGGAGGATCGAGGATGATGGTACGAAGTGAGTCATGGAGTCACATTCGCCCGTTTTGGCCTCTACTCGATTCTTATAGTGAAAAATGATTCTTGCGATCTCAAAGGCATACAAACAAAATTTCAATTTGCTCCAAACTATTATTATGCTAAATTGGTTGAATATTAATGCAACACATAATTCTAAAATATTTGTGATCACTTGAATTAAACAACAAGATTAAAAAGGAACCTAAACCAGTTGTCCAAATTATCTTATTAGGCGTGATTTTCAATTACATATTCCCTTTAAACATGTAATATAGTGATCATAAAAATAATAGAATAACATCAATATTGGAAGAAATTTAACAATAATTGCGTTAGTATAATTAAATATAAAATAAGCTACTCATGATACTAGCAATAAGAAAATAAAATAAGAGTAATTAAATTAATTAATTACTCACATTCCGCGTGTTCCTTTAAATTACTACATTATGAATAAATTGTTAGTAAGTTTAATAAAAATATAAAGCAAATTAAAATTAAATTAAATAAATGTAGATTTAATTTGGTCCAAACTCTCATTTAATTATACCTTTCACGCCTTGTTTTAAATATAGAACTTTGGGTATTGTATGAACTCCTAGGAGTGCTTAATTAGGGGAAGTATTTTGAGAGAATAGGGTGTCTAGTATTTTGGCTAAAAATGGAGAAGAGAATTATTTTATGATCAAGCTTGTTGATGTTTGAAAAAGGGAGATATGACCACTATTTATAGAGAAAAAAGAGGGGTCCAAAAATTAAGATAAGATCCGAATTAAATCGGAATAAAACTCTTGCGATAGACAACAGTTTTTGCAGTGTTTGTTTTTATCATATCTTTTGATCTAGAAATCGGAATAAGATGAAATAAGATATAGTTGGAAAGCTCTTGAAGTCTAATTTCTAACCCAATTGAAATAAGATTAAAATATTTTTTAGAAAAAAAAATATAGCCGAAATAGTGAGACGGTATCAGTTTTGGATAGAGTTTGATATTTTATTCATATCTTTTCCGTTATAGCTCGGAATTGATATTATAATATATCTTGGAAAGGTGATTTCAAAGGCTATCAAACCGTATAAAATTTGGATAAAAACTATGAGGCATGAAAATAATATCTTTCTATCTTTGAAAGTCTTTCAATTCAGATAGAAATAGGATTTTCAAAAAAGAAGTTTTATTCAATTTCAAACTCTTTAATCTTATCTTTTCAAAAAGGATAATTAAGATCTTTTAGAAAATTATAGAAGCTTCTAATTAATCCTAATTGGTTTAGGAATGGGATTAAATAATTTGGACCCTCCACATGATCATTGGGTCGTAGGTAAGGTGGGCTTAGGTTCGGTTTGGGCTAGTTTAATATTTTGGCCATAACTTATTCGTTATAACTCGGATTTGGGCTTATATTATATCGTTGGAAAGCTCTTTTAAAGACACATCCAACTATTTAATCATTGGACCCAGATTATAGACCAAAATAAATTGGTTTAAACGTTTTTATAAAAAGTACACGAAATGAATGATTTTAAAGGACACGAAATGAATTATTTTGGGTTTAAAGGCACGAAAAGAGGAAAATAAGTTATGGTTTGGGGAAATGGGCTAGGAATTGTGTTGGTTTATGAAATGAAAATATGGATTTAAGCACTCCAAAAATCAAATACTCAACCCGACCAATAATGGCGGTGAAAGGTTGTTTCATCATCGGGTTTGGTTTTGGGGAGACATTTTTAGGTGTCTACAGAAGAACCCACTTTGAGTATTGGTTTGCAACTATGAGTAGTTTTTCATGACTTATTATTATGCACATGAGGAGGACGAAGGCGTTCATTCTTTTAGGTAGCCTTCAGAGTATTTAGATACATTTGTTCCCTTCTTGTTACCCATGCTGTTGTTTGTGCCCTTTTGTTGTTTATTTAACCACATTACAAGCCTATATGATCCCCATTGGTTACTACTCCCAAGCTTGGCTTGGGGAAGCTATTAGTTGGTGAGGTGAGGGAGTTGTGGTGTGCACATTATTTGCACAATGTGGGAATAAAAGAAGAGTGTTTGTTCTTTGATTTTTGATTGGAAAATATTGATATGTTGTGTTTCAAAGTTGAAATTTCCAATATGAGTTAAAAAGAAAAAAAAAGAGCAAAAGAAAAAATTTTAATGCTCAAATGTTCTATTTGAAGGTTGTTCAAGAGAAAGAAAAGAAAAAAATTCAAGTTTGAAAAGAAAAAAAAAAAAAAAAAAAAAAGAATGAGTTCAAAGTTTGTATTTCACTCAAGTTCTACATTATCATATTTTTATGAGTGAATTTTGTAAGTAATGGGTTTGTTTATGTTGTTTGGAGTTGTATTTGGTGGATTTTTGTTGGAGTTGGTTATGTTGGAGATGTTGATCATTATTTATTTTGATCATGGGTTTTATTAGGATTTGGCTCCCTTTAAGCATAGCTTTTCTCTCACATATTCCCAAATATTTCCTACCCCTTACCCTAGCCTTACCTTAAAAGCTTTAAAGACCTTCCGACCTTGTGCATAGAGTTGTGTAGATATGAAAGTGTTGCTTATCAATGCAAGTTATGACTTGACATATTCCGAGTCGACTATTAGGTTGAGTGTATGTCTTTTTAAACACACGAGTGTTGTGAGTTTGGGAGGGCATTACATTAAAAGGGTGGTTGGAGAACGATCGGATACATTTTATATCCGCCACATAAATGAGAGTTGAGTGTGTGAGCATAGTCTTGAATTCTATATGCTCTTGTGGTTTGCTCTATTTGACAATTGTTAAGGAAGATTGGTAGTTAGATGGATTTGATTGATTGACTTTGATACATGGTTTGTCAGATTTACCTTGAATTATATTTATTGATTTTAATTATTTTGGGGGTGAAGTATTGATTTATTTATTCATTGCTTTGATTAGGGACAAGCAAAGGTTTGGCTTGGGGGAGTTTTATAAGTCTATTTTATATATATTTTTATTCCCCATCCCACGGTCATATTTGTGCTTATTTGAGCTCTACGGAGCTATTTTTATTATTAATATACGTTTTCTAGTGTTTTTCTAAAGTTGGTATTATTTGTAAGAATTTGCATATTTATGACAATTTCCGAGCTTATTGAGCCACTACAAAGACATTGGAGTCGAATCGTATTTAATGACTATATATTTTAAGCCCAAGGCCGAGTTAAAGAGATTTAATCCGGTGATTAAGGACTCGATGTGTGAAGAGGTCCAAGATTTTACAAGCTATTATTACGGACCAAGGAAGGGAATTGAGTCAAAGAAAGAAGCCCAAATAAAATCCCAACTAGAGATGATGCTGGGCGTGAAATAGGCTGGCCTGATCGAAGCTACCACTGCTCGCTGCTTTTGTTGGTGTAATTATTTTGGGCCAAGCATATTAGTGGGCTGACTTTTAGTTTAGTTTTGTTAGTTTTAGACTTTGTTTTTCGGGAGTTCAACTAGGATTAGTTTTCTTAGTTGAGTTTTAGTAGGATTCCTTTTCCTTTCTTATACAAAGGTTTAGGTAGTTACGTAAGGGGGGAGTTTTAAGTATTCATTAGTTTTAGTTTTGTTTTTTATTAGTTTTAGTTTTAGTTTTTCTTTTTCTCTTTCTCTTTCTAACTTCTCTCTCTCCTCTTAATTAAACTCTTAGTATTATTTTCTCTCTTGTTTCCCTCTCTACAACTCTTAGTTTAATCTCAGTTATTTATTTTCTTTCTTTCATCATGTCTCCTTTAATTGCTTTGGTAATTTTATATTTAATTATGTCTGAGTAGTTTCCTTTCTAGGGTTTATGGGGATCCATAATTAATATGAAGGGGTAATTATTTGTTGTTAATTTTCAATGCTAGATTAATTTCCTATTGATTGGTTTAATGCTCTGTGACTAGATTTGCGCAGATCTTTTATGCATGAGTTTGACAATATTGATTCGAGATTCGACAGATGAGAATTGATGTTTAGGTCTAGTTTCAATAGGCAGGTTAATTTATAAATGGTTAGGTCGAGATTCGAAAGATGAGATTTAATACCAGTAAATTAATTGTGTGATTATAATACGTAGCGAAAGCCCTTTATAATCTGATTAATTTATGCATTGATGATTGATTATTATGTTTTACCCTGGAATATTATTTATTGGTGAACCCATGCCCTAGATCCTTTTATATATTGTTTTCTCCCTATTCCTATTCTTTGTAGTTTAGTTTCATACTCAAATATAAATATTGGTTACTTAGATAATTTAGATTATAATAATTAATTAGGATAAAAAGACTTGTTTCCCTGTGGAGATCGACCCTACTTCCCTATCTACTTTAGTTAGAGGATTTAGGTATTTACTTTTGATTAGGGGATATGACTTTACCCTGTCAGATTAATGAAGAACTCAATGCTCCTAAGCCACGGGAAAAACGGACCATTGAAGAATACACACCAATAGGAATGACTTACAATGAAGCTTTTGACTGTCTTCATGATCAAGGTCATATTCACTCCATTGGTCCCAGCCAAGACTCTCCACCTGAAAAACGTTTTCCCAATTGGGATCCAATTTCCTATTGTCGATACCATAGAGGTCGCGGTCACACTACCGAAAAGTGTCTCACCCTCAAGGATCGTGTTCAAGACTTCATTGATTCAAATCTCCTTCATGTTCCTCCGCGCGACAAGAAGGCCAAGATTAGTAACGATAGTAACAGTGGCTGTAAAGGGAAGAAGAACGACTATCCTTCTTCTTCCGAAAACACCTACTCTAGTAACAATATTGGTACTTTCGGTCTTAATGAGATCTTAGCCATGGATAATCGAGGATTTAGAAAGCAACAAAAAAGGGATTTTACCCCTATTGGAATTAGCTACGATGATGCTTTCGATCGACTCCATGCCAAGGGAATCATTACTCCTATTGGACCTCTTCAAGATCCCCCACTTGAGAAGAGAGTGCCTAGTTGGAATCCAAATGTGCGCTGCAAACACCATCAAGGTAGGGGTCATGCTACTGAGAGCTGTTGGAAGCTAAAGGAGGCTATCCAACATTTGATTGATAATAACAAGCTTCCCATACCTCCAGTTAACAAGAAGAGCGAGTGATGATAAAGCAAACAATACAAGATATAAGGCGAGCTTCAAACGACGAGATTTCATGACATCTTTTTTCTTTTTCTTTATTTATTCTTTCCCCAATAGGTCTAGCATAGACACTTTTCTTCTCCCTTGGATTAACTTTGTAGATCCTTTCTTTTTCCCTTTTTAATAAAATGAGCATTTATTCTCTTACATATGATCATTTCATTATATTGCATCAAAAAAAAAAATTCCATGTCAAACTAAGCACAAGGTATACCAATGATTTAAGGCACCCCTTGTAGCCACATCATATTGTCTTTCACCTTTCTAATTTACAATCCTTTCTTCATAAACCACTTTGAGCCTCGTCTAATGATAGACCTTTCATTTTCCAACCCATATCTACCTAACCTTGGGATGGGACAGTGTGCAACTTATGCAATTCTAAAAAGCTTGAGTGATTTCAAAAGATCAAAGTAAATAGAAAGCAATAGCAAAAAAAAAACAAAAAAAAATAAATAAAAGTGTACAAAAGGGTAAGTGTTCCAATGTCATTGACATAAACATGTCTTTGATATGGACACGTCTCAGATTGCGTCTCTTATCGAGTGCTCGGTACCGTGCCTGAGAAACATGAATGCAAAGTGAGTGATAGACCGCATGATTGGGATTGCCCACACTTATAAAAATAAAATAAATGCTAAAGCATAAGAAAATAGAGCTAAAAAAGATAAGCAAGCCTCAAGCATAAAAATATAAAGATCCAAAAGCAAGGTTGCACACCTTGGGGGCTTATCTAGGGTCTTGAGCCTTTTTATCCCCTTCTTCTATAACCTTTAGCCTAACCACGTTACAACCCTTAGAAAGACCTTTTTGAGGTATACACACACTTGTGCGAGGTTCGGCTAGAGCTACGTTCGGCCTGATTCCTAACGGATACGTAGGCAACCTCACATCGAGGTGCGGCCGTAATAAAAATGCATTCATATTAACATTCACACACCATGATCATATCAAGGGATCTCCTATGCTCATCCCTATTTACTTAAAGCTAGACTTGAGGGCTTGATCCCTACATCATTAGCTTACCTAGTCTAAGAGTCACCACCATTTGACTCTTTTAACAAATAATATCTTTCCACACACTTAGCCCTTGCGGCCTAACTTTAGTGTCACTTTCACACACTGCACATATACATGACCAAATTTACTTCCCTTAGGAACCCTTTGTCATGAAATCTTAACACAACGCTGAAACATGCCTTGTCATATCAACATCACTCATCATTGCATTACAAAGTATGAAGTGCTTAGCCTCCGTGCCTAAGTTACCCAAATGCTTTCATCATTGAGTCAACCATTGAGATAGCCTAGGACGGATTAATCCTTGCACCTTGATAGATAGTATCAAACAACATTTGACTAAGCTCATTCAACATGCACCTTCAAACACTTCGATTCTTTTTCGCGTCTTTATTTTTCGGGAGAAAGTCGATAGCCTCAACAAAAATGACGGAAAATTTTTGTTTTTTTTTGCATTTTTGAGTCACATTGAATCAACACTATGCACACACGGGTCATGAGTCACACGTGTCGTTTCACTTTGAGTCGAGTCAACCTCGAGTCAATCACAGATAGTCAAGTTTATACCTTCAGTCGTGTCAAGTCAATGAGCCAAGCAATAGGTCAACCCTAAACTAATTAAAGAAATTAGCAAAGTTCTATAGTAAAAAAATAAATACAGGTGCAGCAGGATAGGGAAGACCCTACCCCAGCGCCAGACGAAAACATCTAGCGTCTGGCAATAGTTTTTAGCGCCTGGCGCTAGATCCCAGCGTCTGGTGACAGAGACAATTCTTGGCGCCAGAGATATTTCAGCAGCGACAGAGCTCGAAGCCTCCCAGAAAGGTGATTTCGACCTCATACAGCAATTTCGGGTTCCTAAGTACGCCAGTTAGCCCCTATAAGCAATTTGACATGATTAAGTAGTCGGTTTGATTACAGTCACAATAAGTGATCGATCTAACGAAAGATCGTCTCACTTAGCTTAAAGCGCCTAAGCGTTGGCTTATCACGGACATAATGGTTCACAAGCAGCAAACTGCCGACGTACTAGCATAGCGAAAGCAAAGTTCAAGCGAGCTTTAGAGATCGACAAGCGTTGGTCTTCAGAAATTTTTCTTCAGAATATTATCACAACAAACGTTCAAGTATCGAAGCTCTATTGTTCAGAGACGCGTGGACATATTATTTAAGCTCTATTGTTTAGAGACGCGTGGACATATTATTCAAGCTCTATTGTTCAGAGACGCGTGGACATATTTTTCAAGCTCTTTTGCTTAGAGACGCGTGGGCATATCATTCAAAGTTCTTTTGTTCAGAGACGCGTGAACATTTCCATCAAGCTCTTTTGCTCCAGAGACGCGTGGGCATATCATTCAAGCTCTTTTGTTCAGAGACGCGTGGACCTATCATCAAAGCTCTTTGCTCCAGAGACGCGTGGGCATATTATCAAAGCTCTTTTGTTCAGAGACGCGTGGACATATCATCAAGATCTTTGTTCAGAGACGCGTGGACATATCCTCGAAGCTCTATTGTTCCGTGGACATATTATTCAAGCTCTTTTTCTCCAGAGACGCGTGGGCATATCATTCAAAGGCTCTTTTTTCAGAGGCGCGTGAACATATCCAAAAAAAAAAGAAGCTCTTTGTTCAGAGACGAGTGAACATCAAAACAGCAAGACGGCGTTCCATAGATTGTGGAAAATTGTCAAAAAAGCAACTGAAGGTAGGGCTAGCAAAATCTGACCTGACCCGAAAACACGACCCGAACCCGACCTGAAAATAGCGGGTTAGGGTTGAGGATTTCGACCCGAAAACTTAAATGGGTTGACACGAACCCAACACGAAATTTAAATGGGTTAGGTTAAGGTTGAAAATCCCAACCCGAAAATGACCCACATAACCCGAAAACGTTTAAGTTATTAAAAAAAATAATAATAAAAAAAATGTAAAATAAAAACCCAACTTTCAGCCCAGCCCAAATTCGAATAAAGCCCCCTTATAAAGTCAAAAACCCTAAAAATTCCTATTCTCTTTCATTTTCTCTTAGCCGTCACCTGCCTTCTTTCTCTCTCTTAAACTTCACTCTCTTTAACCCCTAAAATCCTCTTTATTGTTGTTCAAACACTAAAATCCTCTTCTATCCTTGAATATTTTTACATCATTCTATGCCTCCTGATATTGTACACGTCACTAAGCCTCTCCTTTGTTTATCCAAGGTATTTTTCATGCTAATTTTTGCTGTTAAGTTATGTTGTATTGTTGTTATACGATTGTTGTCTTGTTTATGCTGATTTTTGTTGTTAATTTTTGTTGTAAATGTTTTATGCGAATTAATCATGATAATTTCAGTTAATTGTTTTATACATGTTAATTACACGATTTTACATGTTTTTAATAGTTTTTATTCGCGTTGTTTACTTGTTTGATTTTTAATGATCTGCATGTTTGTGAACAAATTATTTATGTTTTGGTTATAATTAATTGTTGTGTTATTTTTTAATTCCAGCAAGTAGCGGCCAATCAAATCCATCTCAAAGAGGAGAAGATAAATTACACCATGAAGGATGGGCAAAACAAAGAGAATTAAAGATTGTACTTAATTAAAAATCAGTGTAGCTTTTGAAATTCAATTTGTTATTCGTTAATTAGATTTGGTTTGTAATCCTTTATGTACATTTATTAGACTATTTTGTTTAAGATTGAATTTTGTTTTTCTAAAAAAAATTTGAAATGCTATTGAATGAACAAAGTCAGGTTAGTCGGGTTAACCCAACCCGAATATAGCAGCCTGTTTTATGCCTGTAGACACCCATTCGTGTCTCCCCAAAAACCAAACCCAGTGATGAGTACCTTTCATGTCGAATCATAATCGAATGAAGCGAAAGTGTGGAAGGTTTAGTGTTGCGGATAGTTTTAATTTATTTTCTCTTCTCACTGTATTTGAAAACTTATTTTAAGAAAACAGCCAATCCAGTTTGGTTGGTCCATGATATGGGTCCAATAGTAGTGTAGTTGGATAGGGCTTGACAAGATATTTCCAACGATATATTATAAGCCCAATTCCGATGAATATTGAGGAAGTTATGGCCAATTTACTAAACTGGGCCCGGTTTGAGCCTTATGTGCGGCCCAATGATCTAGGAGAGGGCCTAATATGATTTATCATTCCTAATGCAATTAGGAAAGGTTTTAGTCTTCTAGAGTCTTCTAGAAGGTTCTTTTCATTCCTAATTCAATTAGCATTGATAAATTGAATTTTGTTGACTTTCCAGAGTTTTAATTAAAATCAAAGAACATTATTGAGGAAAAGATACGATTTTATCCTCCTGTACGGCAAAATTTATCTAATTTGAGAAAACGCGTCAAAAACAGGGTTAGCTCCAAACGCCAGGCATTGGCGCCTGGCGCCAATCAGCTGGCGTTGGCGCCAGCTCTGTTTCAGTTGCGTCAATGCTCTGTTTTGTTAATTTTATCTTTTTGGCTGATTTTCTCTATAAATAACGTATTAAAAACTCCGTTTTCATTCACCTACAACCAGTTTTCAATTCTCTCTCATTCTCTTCAATAATCATTCACCAATTCTCATCAAGATTTCCTTGATTATTCTCTCTCTCTCTTTTTCTAAACTTGCTTTTTACATACAAAATTCCGCATTCATTAGATCTAGAAACACCTAGCCATATTAAAAGTTGCCTTCGCCATAGACGTGAAAGGTTTAATTTCTGAGGGTTTGGTCCCAAATCTCTATTTCAATTATTTAATTTAATTGTTTGTTTATTATTTTCCTTGAAATTACTAACGTGTGTATTTTGTTATTAGAAAGAGGTACGAGGCATCAAAGTAAGTGCTTTAATGGTTTTTATTAATATTATGATGTAGAAATCATGTTTATATTGTTATTATGATATTCCTAGTATCATGTCTAGGGTAGCTTTAATATTAAATATGATTGTTACGATGCTTCCTATGTTCTTCCTAATATTTACGATTGTTAGTATCATGTTAGGGCTAAAAATTTGATTTTTATTGCTTAGTGACATGCTAGGGTTTGTTATTAATCTTGTTAGTATCATGCCTAGGATCTTGCTATTTTCATTATGCTTTAACATGATTATTATGATTATGATTATTATAATTGTTATTATTATAATTTATGATAATAATAATAATAATTATTATTATTATTATTATTATTATTATTTTGATGATGATTATTTTATTTATGATTATATTTTCATAATTATTATGATTTTATTTATTATATTGCTTGATTATTTATTTTTATTGCTTGATCACACCTTTTATGCATGTTTAAAGGGAATTTGTACTTGCAATCACGGTTAATAAGATAATTAATAATCTTGTTAGGGTTAATTTGATTATAATTCAAGTGATCGCCAATAATAGATTTATTTGTGCATTAATATTCGACCAACATAGATAAACAGGTTTACGGTTAATCCTATTGATTATATGTTAATTAGAAAGCGCACATGAATACGATCAGAATAAAGTAGAGGCCTATTATTAGGGCAGGTTCAATCTCTTTTAGGTTGGATTTGTACCTTCATCCCCGAACCCTTATTTGGTTCTAGACCTTATGGAGTTGACGATCTCTTGGATCGTTAAGGGGTGTAACCTTCACCCTGTGAACGGTTTACAAGTTCCTAAAACTTGTTGGCGACTCTTTTGCTCTATCTTCTTCCCTTTTGGACGCCACCATACTTAAGTGTATGATCACAGTGGGGTTCAAGCTAGGGGGTTAACGCTTGAAATATTCCCTACAATACCTAAAAAAGATTTGGGGTCAAATCAGGTCATTTTCAGGTTGAAGTGCGCCTACGTTAAAAGCATGTGTGAATATGCCTCGCACTCATAGGAAGTGGGAATTGACATTACGATTAGAGACAACGATTAGGAACAAATAAAGTAGGGAGCCGCCAACAAGTTTTTAAGGAACTTGTAAACCGTTCACGGATCATAAAAGGCAACCATGATAAGGGACAACGAAAGGCAACAACGATTGACCCGTGAAGGTTACACCCCATTCATAATCCATGAGATTACTAACTCCATATGTTCGGAACCACGAAAGGAGGATCGGGGATGATGGTACAAAGTGAGTCATGGAGTCACATTCGCCCGTATTGGCCTCTACTTGATTCTTATAGTGAAAAGTTATTCCTGCGATCTCAAAGGCATACAAACAAAAATTCAATTTGTTCCAAACTATTATTATGCTAAATTGGTTTAATATTAATGCAACACATAATTCTAAAATATTAGTGATCACTTGATTAAACAACAAGATTAAAAAGGAACCTAAACCGGTTGTCCAAATTATCTTATTAGGCGTGATTTTCAATTACATATTCCCTTTAAACATGCAATATGGTGATCATAATAACAATAGAATAAAATCAATATTGGAAGCAATTTAACAATAATTCTAACAATACAAAATCGTTAGAAAAATAATAAAAATAAAAGGAACATAATTCTTACTTTGATTCTGTTTGTTTGCAACTACAAAATAATAAACGAGTTAATAACTTCAAGGAAACAATAAGAAAACAATAATTAAATTAAATTAAATAGAATTGATTTGGGGCCAAAACCCTCAAACAGTTCTACCTTTCACGCCTTGGCTTAAGGATAGAACCACGAGTAAAGTATGGACTCCTGGGAGTGCTTGAAGAAGGAATTTTGAAAGAATAAGGGTAGGCTAGTGTTTAGGCTAGAGCATAGAAGAGAGAAAAATAGAGAATTAATTGATGCCCCGTACATTAAATATGAGGGGGTATTTATAGAAAAAATGTGCTGAGGGAACACACGGAACCCTAAAATGATAAAAACCCTAAAAAAGTATACCGCGACACGGCACTGTGTACCGTGACACGGGAAATCCCACCGTCAGAAGGGAAACATTCCCATGACACAATGTACTTTTGTGTGACGCGGGAAACATATGCTGAACAGGAAAGAAAACGCGTTAAGGGTTTACGCGGAAAGGACACGGAAACCCCCGTGTCACGGCAGGTGTCTCGTGTCACGGGGAACCCCACCGTCAGACGGGAAAGTTTCCTATGACACGGGGGATTGTTGCAGTGACACGGGAGTTTTCAGTCCGCTTTTCCGTCTAAATTCATTTTTAACCCTAATTTCGGTTCAACATTTTAATTGCCGATTGATAATTTCGGGCCATTTTCTGTTTTTATTATTATTTGGGCTAAAATAAATAAAATAAATAAAAATTTTTGGCCAAGATAAATAATAAAAAAAAGGTTTGGGCTAAAATTAAATAATAACTTTGGGCTGAAATTAAAATTATGCTTTGACCAAACATCAGGACTAATCCATGGACTATTCAAAAATACGAATTAAATATGATTTTTTTAAGCACTCTCGGAATTAAATACTGAACCCGACCAGTAGTGACGGTGAAAGGTTGTTCATCATCGGGTTTTGTTTTGGAGAGACATTTTTAGGTGTCTACAGAAGCCCCCACTTTGACTGAGTTTGTAGAAACTTCAGTTTTGAAAACGATAGTCAAAGTAGCCGATAGGGACGGAGAATGATTTAAGACGTTCTGCGATCCTAAACCACTCTGTATACGCCAATACCTGCAGAAAAATGTTAATTCCACAGATTAAAGAGTAAATGGATAAAATACGTATTTAGCACCAGTGTATCGGTGACAAATGAGTTTGGCAGGTTCCTATGCTTGAAGGAATCCACCGGATGACGTTTTTTGAAACGCTTTCCATGCCTAAGGAAATCCAACAGATGAGTTTGGTAGCTTTCTAAGCCTAAAGAAACCTACCGGATGACACTTTCCATGCTTGAGGAAAGTCGACATATGATTTTGGCATTTTTCTATGCTTGAAGAAATCCACCGATGATGCTTTCCATGCTTGAGGAAAGCCGACTGATGATGAGATTGCAAGTCTGTGTGTATCGAGAACCTTGCGTCATGAAATGATGGTGGTTCGATTGTCCCCGAATGTGGGTTGTAGTTGGTTCGCTTGTCCCCGAACGTGGCTTGTAGATGGTCCGCTTGTCCCCGGACGTGGGCTGTAGATGGTCCGCTTGTCCCTGGACGTGGGCTATAAATGGTTCTCTTGTCCCCGAACGTGGGATGTAGATGGTTCGCTTGTCCCCGGACGTGGGCTGTAAATGGGACCTGCAAAATAAAATTTGCCAAGGGACTTGTATAGACTATGATTGACTTGACCAACTGACTTGACCAAGTTTGACTTGACACGACATGACATGACATGAGTATGACTTGTGATTATGTGTGTATAGTTTGAGTGTGTATGTGCAGACATAAGCAACCGAAAATGCAAAAGAAAAAATTTTCCATCATTTTTGTCATGAGACGAGTGGAGGGTGCCGACTTTCTCCCGAAAAAGAAAGACGTGAAAAATGAAATTTTATTTTCGAACTTCCCTCGATAAAAATTTTGAAAAAGTTTTTGAACATCCCCAAAATAAAATAATAAAAAAGGAAAGAAGTTTTGAACTTCCTCCTTGAGCAAGACGAAATGAATCGTATGGATTTAATTGCTTGTCCTGAAAAAAATGTATGCATGATGCATGTTCTTAGGCCAGGAGGCTAAGGACAATTACATCATGTGACACGATAGATGAATGAACTTAAGTCATGGAGCTAAGCATCATATATGGTGTAAAGAAGCGATCTTGAACGTCACTTAGGTCTGGAAGCTAAGCACGTATATAGATGAAGTGATTATGAACGTTGCTTAGGTCAAGGAGCTAAGAACGATATGCTTTGTATTATTACAAATCATTGATATAGAAATATTACTCAGCACATTATGCGATGCATGAAACAATGAACATTGATCAGGTCAAGAAGCTGAACCCGACCAATAGTGATTGTGAAAGGTTGTTCATCATCGGGTTTGGTTTTGGGGAGAAATTTTTAGGTGTCTACAAGTATCATGCCTAGGATCTTGCTATTATTATGCTTTAACATGATTGTTTTAATTATTATTTTTATAATTGTTATAATTTATGATTATCATGATTATATTTTTATATTGATTATTTTTATTGTTGCTTGATATTGTTATTGCTTGATCACGCCTTTTATGCATGTTTAAAGGGAATTTGTACTTGTAATCACGCTTAATAATATATTTAATAATATTGTTAGGGTTAATTTGATTATATTTCAAGTGATTGCCAATAATAGTTTTTATTTGTGCATTAAATTCAACCAACATAGATTAAACAGGTTTAGGGGTTAAACCTATTGATTGTATGTTAGTCAGAAAGCGCACATGAATACGATCAGAAAAAAGTAGAGGCCTATTATTAGGGCAGGTTCAATCTCTTTTAAGTTGGATTTGTACCTTCATCCCCGAACCCTATTTGGTTCAAGACCTTATGGAGTTGACGATCTCTTGGATAGTTAAGGGGTGTAACCTTCACCTCGTGAACGGTTTACAAGTTTTTAAAAAACTTATTGGCGACTCTTTTGCTTTATCTTCTTTCCCTTTGGACGCCACCGTACTTTAGTGTATGATCACAGTGGGGTTCAAGCTAGGGGATTAACGCTTGAAATATTCCCTACAGGTACACAAGGTCACTTGGGGGGAAAACGGAGTTTTTTCGCTCCCAATTCTTTTATTAAGTAGACCTTGTGTATTATCGGTACACAAGGTCACTTGGGGGGAAAACGGAGTTTTTTCGCTCCCAGTTCTTTTATTAAGTAGACCTTGTGTCTTATCAGTACACAAGGTCCCTGAGGGGAATACGGAGTTTTTCGCTCCTAGTTCTTTTATAAACGAGACCTTGTGTCTTATCGGTACACAAGGTCACTTAAAAGGAAAAAGGAGTTTTTTGAAATCCCCAAACATTACAATAAATATTTTACCAAATATACTCAACAGAGTACAAGAAACATAGTATTAAACCAAATCAATTAATAACACATTTTGATATTAGGAAAAGAAAACCTGAACATAGCATAACATTGAATTACCTAATATCCTAAAGTGAGAACGTCGATCAATTATCCAACGTCCTCACTTGGGGGGCTAGTTGTATGGGATGATATGAGACAAGGGTCGATATGCTCCAAAAAGCAGACATATCGGCCATATTGGCTTTTCGATACTTGACACGTGGCAGTTTTATCATTGACACTTGGTGAGAAAAGCCTTGCATTCCTTATAGTCACCTGTCATGAAATTTATTATAAATAGTAGATTAAGCTTCATTAAATGGTAAACATTTATTACACACACTCTCTCTACTTTCTCTCTCTTACTTACCTTCTCTTAAACACATTCTAACTTTACCATCGGAGTGGTTATCCCCGGACCACCCTAGGGTTAGCTAACTTCTGTTCATTGTATATACAACAAAAATTAGATTAAGAAACGCAAAATATAGAACGATTAACAAAGATAGACATTCTATGCAACAATATAGAACGTATTTGTGGAAGAGGTGTTCTATGAGTTAATGAATATAGAAAGGCTCTTATAGTTGACCGTTGTCTATTAGTTTTTAGCAAAAATTAATAAATTATTAATAACTTATGTTAAACAATATACAACGGTGCACTTGACAACTTTTTTTGTGTATATTTAATATTTTATTTTTATTTTATTTTATTTTTAAAGGGACTGGAACTTTGCCCTAAAAATTTAACCAAATGCCATTGAAATTTTTCATACGCCTATATCAATTTACATCTTTTATTTTCAATTCTTTTTTAACTTTAAATATAAACTGCAGGTCTGCGGTTATCTTCTTCTCAAATTCATCAAGCCTGCTACCTTCGCGTTGACTCGCCAACACTGCACCTCCGCACCCACCACCACGACTGCACCTCTGCGGGCATCACCGCGCCACAACTGCAATATCAAGGTAGGCTTTCTAATTTTCTTCTCCTTCGAATGTACAAATTTGATTAGAAAATTGTAGATCTATTTGAAGTATTTATTGAATTGAACTATTCAATTGAATTGTAAAATTGATAAATCAATCATAGTATATTCATCAAGTTACAGTAGTTTTATTCGGTGTTTAGGTGGATTAAAGTTCTAATTTTAGGAAACTATTTCAATCGGTTTTTTGTGAACGCAAAACTGCAGTAATTTCAATCAAATTTACACTTATATTTTCAAGTAATCCAATTAATTTCATAATCAATCAAATCAATCTAAGAAAAATTTATATAACCTAGGTCAAATTTAGAGCCCCTGATTGATACATTTCTTGAATTTTCTGAGGTCAAACAAATATGACTATAAATGGGTAGCTAGTTATTGGTTGTGACATTTGAAACGAGTTCATTCTTATCAATGTTGATGAAATGATGATATTGGCAGGTTCTTAAGCAATTCACGAACTTTGATTTGGTTATAGAGTAATGGGTGTTGCTAGAATTCAGAATATAATTCGACTGCATTTGCAGGTAATTGAACTAATTTAAAGTTCTTGATTGTAACTTTCGATTGGTAATTTTGTAGGTTAGGTTAATTCATTTTTTTTCTTTTTGATAACGAAAGTGATGTTATTAATCAAAGAGAATTATGTTACATTAATCTCCGCTTGCCTTGCAGGTTGGAACCCAAGAACACTTGTTCTACCCCATCAAACAGAAGAGATCAAGCTCAATGTGAGTATATTCAATCAAGTTGTTGGGCAATCAAGACCCCCACCTAGCTGCCAACACCACACGCCCATCACATTTCATCCTCTGTACATCCACTACGAGAGCTGCTCGTTCTTTCCTCTAATAAAGTATTTTTTTTTCTTTCTAATTTTTTCTTTCTGATTTTGTTTCCATTATTTTACCTCATAGATTATTGAACTTGCAACAATCTTGACTCAAAAATTATGGGATATATTTAACTTGTAATTTTAGTGTGATTACAGGTGACATATGTGAAAGAATTAGTTGAATGGATAGCTACGTCAGATTTTGTGGAGATGAAATAGAATGTGATGGAAATAATGAACCATTATTTGCTTGCAATGAGTGTGTAATCCTACTGCATGTGTTGAATTTGCTATGAGTATGGATGAGGCAAAGTGAATCAAAGGTAGCTAACTTTATTATAGTAAAATAACTAATTCCCTGATGTGATTTTAGATCTTTTATTGGGTAAGTAGCTCTGCTATAAATGGTTGTGCTTCATAATTCATTTTACTAGATACGATTTCTGGTATTGTCTTTGATGTTGGAGACCAACTTTTACTTTTTTTATTAGTCTGAATTCTCCCTTTTTGGCTTTTTGTAATACTAAATATGCTTTGAGTTAAATTTCTCATTTTTTTTTTGTTATGTTAATGCAAAATGTAGTATCATGCTCTTTAATTTGGTATGAATGAGTAATTTATTCTCTAATTGATTTCTCCCTTGGGTTTTTGCATTTTTCTCATATAGCCTTTCTAACTGTGCTTTTGCTTTTAAATTACAGAACATAGAATTTTGTAGTAGAAGTTTTTTTTTTTATGTTAAAATTATTTTTATGCAAATAAATGTTCACTTATATCTTATGTTTGTTTTGTAGATTTACAACTATCAAAGAAAAGGGGAACGCCGGGAAGAGAAGAAATAAGAACGATTGATTGTAAACATTTAATTTTTGTTTAATTTGTACCTCTTGTTTTGTTTTTTTTTTTCATGCTAAATTTATTGTAAATATTTTTTTTCTTTGATTTTTGATATATTCAATTATCATTTTAAAATTTCAAATTCAATATTACTATAATTCGTTATTTAATTTGTTTCCTAATTATTATAGCAAGAAATTAATATACGGTATTTTAATTTATAGAAATACCGCATATTAGTTTTTCTTTTTTAATTCTTAAAATAAGGATTAGAGAACTGTTATCTGACTTGACCGTTCTCTTTAGTAATGCTATATAGAACGGTCAAGTAGACTAACTGTTCTTTATTCCTTCTTTATTTTCTGATTTTAGTTAGGGAATAGAGAACGGTTGTGTGTAATGACCGTTCTCTATAGTTGAGTTAATAGAACGCCTTCATGAACCGTTCTATATACTTTATACATCGCTTAGCAGAAGAACGGTCCTAAGGCGTTCTATAAAGCATATTTTAACCGTTCTATAAAGCCTTTTTTGTAGTATGTGTAGGTTCCCAGCTTGTTGATAGGAGTATCAGGATCTCGGGTTCGGATTCTCGGGCTATCGGACCCGGACAGAAACAGTATTGTAGGCAGTATATCTGTATATTGAGCAGTTTACTAAATAAGAAAAATTCACTAGTTAAGACTATTTTTGTTGGGATTTGGGAATGTAGTGTGATGAAAGTAGAAAAAGTGCTTTTGACTTCTCTCTGAGCTGTACGGTTGTTAGCAACTTAGCAATCTGGTTTAAGTTTAGAAAAATTTGTTTAGAAGGGACTTATATGTTCACTATTTTGTCTGGAAGGACCTTATATGTTCAAAGTGGTCTAAAAGGACCTTATAAGTTTGTTTTGTTGTCTAGAGGGACCTTCACGTCACATTCCGGTGATTGACTTTTTAACTCCGGCGTTGACTAGTCATGTAACTCTCACGTGACTTAAAAAATTTACCACCCCTCTTATTTTTTTCCCCCTTTTTCCCACCATTCTACTTTCTCTCTCTTCTTATCCCCTTAATTTCTCTCTCCTCTGGTATTCTCTGAGGAATAATCAATGAAGGAGTGAAGATTAAGTCTAGAATTTATTGCTCTCATCTTCTTCTCTCTCATTCATTTTCAGTTGCGCATTTGTACTTCAATTTTTTTTCTTTTTTTGGTCTCCAATGGCGAAAGGGAAAAAGGGGCAAAACGTGGCAAGGAATTATGTTCTCTGTCTAAAAAAATCTATAAATCTAGGTAAATCAACTAAATTGAACTTAATTTTGTAAATGGCAAACGAAAATTAGGGTTTTTGGAGTATTTTGCGATGTTTTTTGTGAACAAAAATTGTTTGGTTGCATGCGAGTATGTTGAATTACTTGTTGGTAATTGGATTCATGAATTGAATATTTGTTTAATGTTGAATTTTGGGAAATTATTTGTTTAATTGGATTCATGAATTGAATTTTGCAAACAACTTAACTTAATCTTACAAGATTGAGATTTGGGGGAAAAAAAACCGTAAGCAATGTTCTTACCTGATGCGAAAAGGAATTAATCGAAAGATTCTTGCTTGAATTTCTTCAAAAACTTAAGGAACACAATTCATTAAATTGATGAACCCCAGTTCGTGAGGAGAGAGAAGCAATTTGGGGAAAAAATCTGGGAAAATAGGGGGAAAAAAATAGGAGGGAGGGTAGTTTTTAAGTCACGTGAGAGTCACGTGAATAGTCAACGCCGGTGTAAAAAAGTCAAACGTCGGAATCCGGCGTCAAGGTCCCTTTAGACAACAAAACAAACTTCTAAGGTCCTTTTAGACCACTTTGAACATATAAGGTCCTTCCAGACAAAATAGTGAACATATAAGTCCCTTCCAGAGAACATTTCAACTTAGCATTATCTCAATTGCTTTTTTAAGCGAGTAAGAAATGGATTCACACGTGTTATGTTAATGAAGGATATACTGTCCTTGTGTGTATTTGATGTAAATTTGTGACCTGATTTTCGTCAGGTTAGAAGTCTCAAGTTAAACTGGTCTTTTAGAGAGCCTCGTAGGCTTTAATTTTCTTAGCGCGTCATGTATAATTATAAATTTAAGTTGTAGTCAATTAAATAAGAGATTATTAATTTCTTTTATAATTAAATAATTCAAATGCCACGTAAGCAAATTGACGAATGGAATTTTAAATTAATTAAATACAAAATATTATTGTTTCGGGGTTTTCTGATGTCCTGCGGGAGAGTTACAATTCCGAGACTGGGACCGGACGCCTGTACCTGCAAAATAACGGAGACTCCTGGGAGCTCCGCCTCCAACGGTCAAGTTAGTACTTGAATAAGGAGTAATTAATGCGGAAATTAAAGTGATTGGGTCTCTCTAGGTGAGAGTGTTTAATGTAGGTAATCTGCTTTGTTAGCGAGATCAGCCGGTTATTACTGTGCGTAATTAATGTGTTTTTTCCGTAATGTTTCTGTAATCCCCCTTAATGAGGATTAAGGGAGGTATTTATAACCTTGGGAAACGTGCCCATCCTAGGTTTAGGTTAACCTAGGGCCGATTGGGCTTCCCTCGGAAGTTGGGCCTGGGTGGCCGGTTTCCCCATTAGGCATGGAGTATGCCACATGTCATGACATAACAGGTCCAAGGTGGACGAATAAGCGAGTGCCACGTAGCAAGCCCTGACAGTTCCAACTGGGAGACACTTGGCAGGACCTGATTGGTCCACGTGGCGCATTCCGATTGGTGGGAGCAAAATCCCCTAATCATTTGCCCCTCACAGGTGGCACGTGATTGGTCACGTGTTACCTGTGACAGGTGTCGCACTGTAACAGGCGACGGCCTGCTACAGGTGTCAGTCGGCGAAAGGACGAGAGATTTTCCCGCCCAAATTTTGAATTCTGAAAGTGACCCTTCGCCTTCTCACTTCGCCTATATAAGGGAGGATTGTCTTGAGTCATTTTCACACTTTGAGAACTTTTTGAGAACATTCGGACCCCTGAACTTGCTCTGACATTTCGGACCTTTTCTGCCTACCGCCTGTTCTGACAAGCCGACTGCACAGGATTTTCAGAACTTCATCAACCGTCACTCGTTCAGGTAACTGTCAGTTCTCTTATTCTTAATTTTCTTTTTATTTTTTGAAATGGCACCACGGAAGCACACGACACGACCTAGGTTAGTGATCAGCCGGTCACCGGGGACGGCTGAATCTAGGACTAGGAGTGCCGCCTGCCCTTTTCCGGACCCATCTTTGCCCTTTATACAAAGTCCGACTGTATCTGTGTCTATGCAGAGCAGGATGGCCAGAACGAAAAAGACAGCTAGGATCTCAAATTCAGACGGCTCCTCCCACAGGGTGCCGCTTAGTGAAACATCTGACCAGGCGCCAGATGTGGAAGTGAAACAAGGCGGCCTGGATGCCGGCAATTCTGTGGGGGGAGTCATAGTGACCCCTTCCCATTTAACAGTTAACAAATCTGCTCCCTTTCAAAGAGAGGAGGCGGGCCCCTCCGGGAGAGGGGAGGAGTCGTCCTCTTCGGACTCGTCGGAGAACGATTCCTAGTCAAGCTCTTCTGGCCATGCTTCTTTGGGTACAGAAGAGAAAAACAGCCGCCTGCAAGAGGCGAGACTTTCTCACGCAGTTGAGAAGGGGGACAATTGGGCGGAACCATCCGCCTCTTACCGAGAGCTAAATACCCCCTACTACTGCACGGTACCTCGGGGCCGGATCACAGCCATGCAAGAGAAAGTGGAGAGCTTTATTGCAAACCACACCATGGGCCCTGACTATCTAGTGTTTGTGCCGGATCCAGAAGACACAGTCGTCTGGCCGGCTGGTTCCAGTTATGATAGCGCCTGCTTTGGCTGCTATGAGGCGGCCATCAAGGCAGGGCTGCGCTTCCCATTACATCCGGCTGTTCAGCGGATTTTGGATGGGTATGAGTTGGGGTTATGGCAGTTAGCCCCAAACTCCTGGGTCAACGTACTCAGCTATGTGGCCGGGTGCGAACTGCACGGGGTGGAGCCGAGCTTCGAGGCTTTCGCCCATATGAACTATCTCAGGCGGACCCCTAAGACAGACGGTACCGGCTGGTATCAATTGACAAGCCACAGGGGCTACCTCATGACAAGAGGTAAAGCAAACAAGTGGAAGGACTGGCGGAGCACCTTCCTCATCATTGAGAGTTCAGACATTGAGCTGAACAAGCGCTTCAATAGGTGGAACAGGAATCCGCTTCTTCTTGCAGGCGGCCGTAGCATGCCGCCTGTTCCCCCCAAGGCTAAGAAAGAGATCCTTGATAAAGGACTCTTTAAAGTAGAGTCGAGGGTCGACTCTACTTCAGGGGTACGAGAGCAAGTACCCCTGCACTGCGTCCCGAGCTTCAAGTGGCTCTATGACGAGTACTTTTTGGCCGCCTGTGGCCTCAGCAGTCGGTGCTCAAGAGGTAGTCGGCCTGTCGAATACTCTGTTGTTCCATACATTTGTCATTATCTTTTATTAACTTTGCTGTTTGTTTTTGCAGCTGACGCCATGAGCAAAATCACCGCCTCCAAGACTGCGGCGGCCATGTTGCGGGCCTCCATCATGCAACAAACTTCAACCGACTCCCCCAAGAAGGGGGCACCCTTGGTGAGCTCTGAACCTTTCACCCTCTTTTTGGAGTGTTTATGCATATACTGACTTTTTTCTTCTTTTTTAGACGGGTGCTCCAAGAGCTTCATCTTCCCAACAGCCAGACCCCAAGGCCCGGAAGACGACTGTTGGGAGCTCTCCTGGTTCTGCCAGGAAACATGTGGCGGCTGAGAAACAGCCGGCCACTTCTTCTAAAACTCCAACTGGGCCGCCTAGAGGTATGAAGTTGTCCTTGTAAATTTTAGACTTGCTCCCTTTTTTACTAGGTCTAATCCGTTTGTTTATGCTTGATGCAGCCGGCCCCCAGGAGCCTGACTTGGTAGAGATGGACAAGTCTATGATCAGGGCAGTTCCTCCAGCTGAAAGGGAGGCGGTCAGGGGTGTCGGCACCCTTGACCTTGACGGGATTGCAGGGGTCCTTGCTGAGGTATACTTAGCATATTTTTGAGTAT